CCCCAAAACCCCAAAACCCCAAAACCCCAAAACCCCATGATTCTCAAAATCATGTGAAAATTTGTTATCTCGAAAATAAAATTATGAAAATCTTCATTTATTGTAATTCAATTTAAGTTGGTTATCAGTAAAGCTCGACTTGTTTTTTATATACTTTTCTAATTCCATAATGTCTACATCTATTACATTCTTCTTAGCTGAATTTCCGATGTTAGTTGTAAGTTTCTTAGGCACATATCCTTGCTCTTCGACCAATGTGCTCAGCGATTTATGCCTATTGATGACAACATGCTCTAGCAGTAGTTTGTTTCTTCTGAGCACTCCAATATTCTCCTCCTCTTCCTTGACTGTGCCTAGCTTCTTTTTATTTGGACTCTCTCTGTTGTACTTGGTAATGTTCATACCAGCATAGCCAAAGTTAATAGAATTAGTGGAAACATTCTATTAAGCAGCATCCCTTTCGACTGAGGGCATCACGATCTCAGTTCCTAAAATCTTTTTATTGTTCTTAATGTATTCTTGTAGGACTCTCTTGTGCTCTTATTCAGAGTAGTTAGACTGCTGATTAATTTTCTGATAGATCTTTGTCATTTTCTCATTTTGGTCAAGTTTACTCTGCCAAGTCTCATAATCAGATACGAATTCTTTTTTAAACTGATCTACACAATCTTAAAATGTCTTCATACTCTGATTCTTTGCTAAATTCCTATATCTATTTGTATTTTATCCAATTAGACCTGGAATATGCTGCTAATGTAGTTGTTACTTTGCAAGAAAGGAAACTTAAGTATTTGACTGATAATTTTATTTGCTCTGAGACTAGATAAAGCTCTCGCCGATACTCATCTGTGATTGATCTACTGAATTTTAATAGAGCTAGGACATGTTTGCTAAGTTATTGCCAAAATTAGTTCCAAATAAAAGGAATTGAAAAAGGTCTTGAAAACTCTTAGACTCTAACTCCTTTTAAATAAGCTCATCACTATCACTTGAGATAATGTCCATGAATTGCTAGATGTGAGAACTATGCACGCTTCTCATCTCTTCAGAGGTCATGTACTTCTGCAAAAACCCTCTTATCAGTTTTTCCTAATCGCTATTTAGTAGGTACTAATGATGAATCACCGATTCATTCTCATTGGATTCAGTCTCAGGCTTCTCATGCAGCTTAAGCTGATTCTTAATGTTGAAAATAAGCTTTCTGAACTTCGTAAGCCTATCCTTGTAGGAATGTGAAAATTTTGACTTTAGTAAGTTCTTGTTGGCATTCATGAAATCTTTCTGAGATTGATACATAGACGAGTCATCCATGATTTGCTTAGGCAGATCTTTGTCCTTTTTATTCTGAGATGCTTTGATAAGTAATTCAAATTAGTACCTTTCTCTGAGTGTCTTAGTCAGAGAGGAATGACTTTTGGAGATATTAAGTCTGCTTGGCTCTTCGTCAACCCTACTGAGAGGATGTAAGCCGGATCCATCTAGATGCAATTTTTCATACAATGATAGATTTGGGTACTGAGCCATCATTTCTACAAACTCTTTATGATTTCTATACTTAGGTGTTGGAGAATGCTCCATTATCTTTTGGGAAATGGCTGGGATATTCTTCTTTGCCTCGTTGAGACTCGCTTATATCAGTTACCTCTTCATTTGCTTTTCGTTTTTCATCTGCTAATATGCATTCACATGACTTATGTCTAAATTAATCTTCTTGCAAGGAGATTTACTGTTATTTTAAGAAGAGCCATCAACCTTTGCCTGCTTTTAACTAATAAAGAAGCGATTATTTATTCTATTATGTTACGTTTTAATTCTATGATTTTGCTTTTCTTAGTTGAGAATGAGGCTTTACTTAAGCTTGTTCTCGCTGAAGTTTACAGGGGATCCTTAAAGAGTCATATTTGGTTTAGCCCATTAATTGCTCTGAGTACCTAGAATTAATCTTGAAATTTAAAAGTTCTATTACTTGAAAACAACTTTTAATGCCTATTAGAACTTCCATTTGGAGAAAATAATTTGTCACCTTCTTGTCTATTTTCCCCTGTCTAAGTTGTATAAAGAGGATCAAGCTTTTAATTTCTGGAAATTACTCTCTTTCTCGTCAATACTGTCTATGAGGGGAATCTGCGTTCCTTAGTTTACTTAAATTAAATATTCGTATAGGAGGGATCTGTGATAATGGCTAAATCCATATTATTCCTGTTTCTTCACTCTATTTCTTAAAATTATATTACTTCTTTATTAAGATCTACAAACTGCAACCTATCAACATGGGGTTTTGGGGTTTTGGGGTTTTGGGG